GCTAGAGTTATTCGAAAACTGGTTAAACACATAGCATGCAACTGATCATAAAAACGTCATACATGTAAAACATATCATGTATGTAACTTGAAACATCATGCATTTGTACCATCATCATATAAATCATATAATGCTTGCAAATAAGTTTATACGTAGGTATGCATCCTAGTGTAAGTCTCATGAAGACTCACCTGATAATGTAGATTGCTTATCTAACGCTGCTGACTGGTAACCTACAATTTATGATAGCATATAGCATATAATGATTAATTTCTCCCAAAGGCTACATAAAAGTCAACTTACGGTCAACTACGTTGGCTAGGGTCAACCTTGGTCAACTATGCTTAAATGCTCCTTACATCAATCAAAATTATAGAAACGTGAGTCCCAACATAAGGTGTATTGTCTAGCCATATATATCTTAAAATGACTCTGGAAGAAGGCCAGAGCCTCTGTGAACGACCAGAGCCTCTGGTGGTAATGACAGAGCCTCTGGGCTCTTAAGTCCTTCAGGACCAGAGCCCCTCTGGTTGTATACCATACTTAAAAAATATTTAGTAGCCCGTCCATCGATCCTCTGGTTCTAAATCACACTTAGAAAATATTTGTATTCAGGACCAGAGCCCCTCTGGTCTCTCTTCCAGAGCTTCTGGTCTTCATGACCAGAGCCTCTGGTTCTTAGCCACTTAGAAAATATTTCAACGCAGGACCAGAGCCCCTCTCGTCTCTCTTCCAGATCTTATGGTCTTCATAGAGCCTCTGGTTAACCATACTTAGAAAATTATTCAATACTAAGGGCCAGAGCCCCTCTGGTCTCTCTCTCTTTTCATCCAGAGCCTTCCAGAGCCCTCTGGTTCTCGCAACCAGAGCCTCTGTTGGCATAATCTGGTACAGAGCTCGTCACAGAGCTCTCACAACCTAATACAAAACTCATGCAGAGTTTCTAACACGTTACAGTGCTCTCATGCAGAGCTTCTGTATGCCCGCCTCTACGTGGTTTTTACAGTGTGACACAGTGGGCTTACTATATGAAATCTAAACCTTGAATCGATCCTTAAAACCAAGGTTTGGTTGTGAGCCTTCCAGGGTTCTATACATGACCAAAGGCATCATTAGACATAATTAACATAAGATTTGGTCTTACCTCCAAACGTCGAGGAAACAAGGGGTGTTCTTGCTTGGTCTTGAGCTCTGGTTCCTCTTTCTCTCAAGCTCATGATTCCTTCTTCTCAAGAGATAATCACTCTCGGCCAGTATCCTTGATTTAAACCCAAGCGATTTGGCCTATTAGTTGACCAAATCGGCCAAATCCCGATTTTTAGGCTGCAAGACTGTCCTCTTCACAGCCTGCMGCCATGCAGGTTGCAGTTTCCTCAAAGAGGCCAGGTCATGCATGCGCCCTTTCCTGCCCTTCCTAACGAGGACAACAGGCCCTCCTCTGTTTGTGCGGTCTGTTGCAAAATTACACAACAGGTCCTTCTGATTTGGGCCGGTTTACACCCGACCCCGCCCTCTAACTATCGCGAAATTACACCTTYGCCCATGGCTTGACTTTTCTTTCTCTTTTGGCCCGATTTTAGACTTATTATTAAATTTCTATTTAATATAATTAAAAATAGAAATTGTAAATAAAGATAAATTATTTATTCTCAAATTTTGGGTTTTACAATCTCTAAAATAAAGTGGGCCACATAGATGGATATCAGCACTGCCTCTGTGCTTGCTGAGGAGGTCATTCAATAGATGGAGAAGGCGGCTACCAGACTCCTGAGGCGTTTGAAGAAGGCTCCCCTTATTACTTGCAAAGTAGAAGCCACTAAAATCCATGACGATCAAGGAGGTGATGACCATGATCGTCATGAGGGGGAGAAGAAGACAGAGAAGAAAGCTGAAGAGCCAAAGAAGACAACCTTTGCCAAACCACTAAAGATAGTGGACTCTGCAGCTGCCCTGTTCTCAAAAGATAAATCTCCAGAGCCTAAGGGGAAAGGCAAGGGTAAAGCTATAGAGGAGTCGCCACAGAAGGGGTCAAGCTCTGAGATGCCAGAGGAGAAAAATGATGAAGAGTATGATGACCCAGACCTAGTTCGAGCGTTAAAGGCATCTTTAGTAGAGGCACAAGCAAGAAAGGGCAGAGCCCCTATCCCCAGAGATGGAGAAGGCTCTTCCTCTAAAATAGCGAAGGAGGAAACGTCCACGGTTACGTTCGACGCTCTGGTAGGAACTGTCAAGCCAATCCTACCAGAAGGGTCCACCCAGAGGTCGATTCTAGAAGAAGAAGAAACCAGAATACTAGAATCTACCATAGTGCGGAGGGTTTCTGAGATACTTGAATCTATGAGCAAGATTCCAACGCAGAAAGTGCAAAAAACAGAGCCTGTAACCACTGTGGAGGAGATTTTGCGGTGGCATTACTCTACCGTGGACACAGAGCCCCCTTACGATACAGAGCTTACAGGAATTCCTTCTGCCGCAGCAAAGTTTCACTTCTCAAAACTCACAAGGCCACGCGAGCAGGTCTTCTCAGAGCACGTGATAACTTCTCTTGAAACCATATCTCCAAGGACTATGCTGAAGAAGACCGTGCTTTATGCTCAATATTTGGTGAAGAGGGATGACGGCAACCTATACACTTTCACAGATACTGACCTCCACAACCTCTGTGTATTTGATCTTATCTTCTTGCACAAAATTCTTAACAAGTACATGGAGAGGAGGTCAAGCTATTCGATTTCCCTCAGAAGGCTGATCGAAGTAATGCACGCTCAAGTAAAATACTACAGCCAGAAGG